AGCCATTTTGAATGTTTACAAGCAGTGGCCATTTTGGATATTTAAAGCAACTGTGCATACAGCCATTTTGAATCTTTATAAGCAGTGGCCATTTTGGATATTTAAAGCAACTGTGCATACAGCCATTTTGAATCTTTATAAGCAGTGTACATTTTGGATATTTAAAATGACTGAGGATGCAGCCATTTTGAATCTTTACAAGTAGTCACCATTTTGGATTTTAAAGTGACAGCATTCTCATTCAGATTCCAGGGACCTAAGAATAGTCTCTATTTGCCAAGGTTGTCAGGGTCATATGAGAGGCTGACAACAGAACAGAAGACAGGTGGTGAGTGTATAAGTGCTGTCACCTAGTGAATAGAGGAGCACAGCACAGTACCCTGCTTGCATAGATAACATACAAACAAAACAAAATGAAAATTGTGGGCAAGTCACTCCAACATATAAACACAAAAATGTCACAATCCCTCAGAGACAACAGAGCATCACAGTCCACACAAAGAAGCAAGATAAAGCAGGAGAAACAAGGGACCAGGATACAGACCCAAAACACATCCCTGAGGAAGCCACAGCATTGGAACTCCCTGATAAGGAATTCAAAACAATTATATTTAGGTATCTTCAATGAATTGAGAGACAGATCAAGGAAAACAGAGAGAAAATCCTTAACAATATCAAAAGACAATACAAGAACAAAATGACAAAATAGATGAAAAATTAGAAACGATACAAAATCTACACACAGAAATCCAGAAGATTAACACAAAATTTTCATAAATAGATAAGACATTGAATGGGCAAAGGAGCAGAATTGAGTCAATGGAAGACAGAATTAGGGAGATTGAAAGCAAATACCTGAACACTTCTTTGGAAAGAAATCAATCAGAAAAAGATCAAAACAAAATGAAAAAAGCCTAAAGTTCATGTGGGATACCATCAAAAGGAATAACCTACATGTAATTGGAATTCCAGAACAGGAAGAGACAAATAAATTTCACTGAAAAAATTGTCCAAGATTCGTTAGAAGAGAATTTTCTTGGTATGATGAAAGATGAGAATATATCCATTCAGGAAGCCCAACAAACCCCTAACAGGATCAACCCCAAAAGAAAATCACC